GAAATTACTCGAATAAAGGTATTCGAAACTATAATTTTTTTCTATTTTTGCTCATTTCTTCATTTCTTCGCTTTGATAATTTTTTTTATAGATGTTCCTATTTTCATGGGGCATGGTCCGTGATGCTGTCCGTGCTTGACAGCTCCGTCTTCTGCTTCACTTTTGCAGTTCTATTTTTCGATTTTTTATCGGACATATGAGCCATATACGTGGACCATTCCTGCATTGCATAGCCTTCTAGCAAATTCGAGTCATTGGTGCCGGCCCCCGGGGAGTGAATTCTCTTTTCTAGGTATCGAGGCTGTGACAAAAGAATCCTTGTAGCACCTGGGTTACTCGTATTTTGTTTTATATTTCTTTTTCACTTAGAAAATGACAGCTCGGATTGCCAAGGAATGTATTGTTACCGTTGCACAACTCATTTCTTTGTTGCAATCCTCTATGATATAGCCTGAGATCCATGGATACTTTAAGCGCCGTCATCCATTTTAAATAAGCTTAGTCATGGCACGTGACCCGGTTTTAGTTAACGTTGGAAGCTCACTTGAGTCCATTTCGCAAATTAAGCATCTTATCTTCTTTTGTCGTCTATAAAACTGAGAAAATATCTTAAAGAGAACTAAACGGAATATCTGCCAACATTACCGAAAAGACATCACAAGGCCCCGTAAGCGGACTATTCTTGTCAATGTCACAGCTCACAAAGGAAGTTTCCAACTTCCAGATCCCAAACTTCTCATAATCAACGCCTGTCAAAACTTTCTACATAGTTATGAGTGGCCAGGCGGGAGAGAATAAGGCACTAAAAGATTTTGAAGTCTGTAGTGGGTCTGTCACAAGTCGCAACGCCGACATCGAAGGTGTTCTCGCAGTGAGCGGCCTTTTACTGCCACTCTCGATTCTCGAATGCCAACGAAACGCCGATTCCCCAAAGTCTATAGAGAAGCAACGTAAGAATCAAATTAAACACAACTAATAAGTGGGTCTGGAAATCCACTGCCTAGGTGGGAACTGCTAGTTCAGGGACCCGCAAATCTAGAGTGGAGCGCGTTGGTACATATACAGGTTCACGGGTTAACCCTAGTATGTTGTATATTATAAACCAGATGTCAAGTTCGCAAATCACTCATGTGCGAACACCATAGCTAATTTATAACCATCGGGATCAAGCTATAACCCCTCGGTATTTACACAAGCCGTATCGATGAGATTGACGTTAGCTGTAGTATCCGAAGAGCAGTGAGGGCCATATACCCAGATAATCCCGTTCTGACGGGACCTATTCGAAATGAGTTGCAACGATATTTCTTATGGTATCGCACGCGACCTCTTGTTTTGATGTATTAGTAGTCTTTCGCTTTTTGCAAATTCTCGTGCTACTTCTATCTTATAAGCATCTGTTATACATCAACATCCTAGTCTAGCCCTAAAGAAGACTAGTTCTCTAAGAGCGGAAGTAGTGCCACCTATATCGCCCTTCCTATAATAACTTTCACAGCACACTTTATCCTTTCCTAAAGCTTTTCCTATTTATTCGTAGCTCGCATTATTATACTCCGTAGTAAATATAGACAGGAGGTGTACTAGACCAGATAAGATTGTCGCCTAATCATATAGAGGTCTGAGTGCGACACTTTTAAACAAAAATGTGTACGGTTGTTCATTGCCAAAGAAACAATTTTACTACCAGTATGGATGGAGTACTCCGTACCCGTGGACGCATTGGAAGTCAGATTATTCTCTTCCGTTATTGTTCAATTTGTCGCCCGGCAGATCGCCCTTACATCGATCGCCTACAAGGATCGGTGAGTGTATGTCGACCAAGGTCTAGACCAGCCTTTTGTGTTACTACAAGCCTGAGTATATACTCTGTCGAGTGTCCATTCAGTGGGCATTGCAGATATCCTAGCCAAGGTTGGCCGCTAAAGCCACATCATAAGGCCACTAGAGCTAATGGGGAAATACCTGCCCAATGGTAGGAAGCCCTAGCCCGAGCATTAAAATCAGGACTACGGAATATTGATTGGTATTATTACTCCGTTCCTATTAAACATATTTGTTTCGGGTAGATGATGAGTCCAGAGTATGAAATATGAATCAAGATTTTCAATATGAGATCACACATCTCTAATGATAAAAGCCTTGAGGTGTACGCAGTACGCGGGAGGCTGGGAGTGGGTCATAATACATTTGTGTCCCCTGCCACCTATTTTTTTGCTTGGGATTTCCCGCTTTTTCATTTTCAGGTAAACTGTTTTATCGAAGAAATATCTACGGAGTACTCCGTACTCCATACTCTGGACATCGTACTTTGTACTCTATACTCTCGAAGATGCCTAATTGACTACATTTTGTGTCACGCACCCAGAATGGCCATTGTACATGCACACTAGTTGGCATCTGAACTGCACACCCGTAGGTCGAGTGTACATGGGAATAGCTGTAAACTCCATGGAACAACGTGGCGGTAGATGCTGTCCACCTGTGGGAACATCTCCGATCGGAATGGAAGGTGATTGGACCAATCACGAGTGAGGATCCACGGGATCGACCCAAAAAAAGAAGTAACGAAAACGGAAGGCTGGCACCTTCCCTAATTGTTTTAAGACCGTTTGTGTACTTCCCTAAACATTTTGAACTTCTCCTTCTCCTTTACCCCTATCATATTACATTCTCACACTATCTTCATTGCATAATAGTTACAAGATTACTCATAGCTTATTCTACTTGGCCCACCATGCGATTCTTTCTTGGTGCGCTAGTGCTATCTTCCACGCTAGTCGCGGCCCAAACCTATACCGATTGCAATCCGACAGAGAAATGTAAGACACATGTTCATCATTGACGATAGGTTACTAACCACTAGCAGCATGTCCTGCTGATCCTGCATTTGGCCAATCTGACAAGACGTTTGATTTCACAAGTGGCTCATCTGATGCTTTCAAGTCGACTGGAGCCGTCACTTTTGACCAAACAAATGGTGCAACCTTTACTATTGCCAAGCAGGGCGATGGCCCGCTGATTCAGTCCGGCTGGTATATCATGTTCGGTCGCGTGGAATGCACCATTAAGGCAGCATCAGGGACTGGAATCGTTAGTAGTGCAGTTCTGCAGTCCGACGATTTGGACGAGATTGACTGGGAGTGGCTGGGTGGAAACAATGCCCAAGTGCAGACCAATTACTTCGGCAAAGGAGACACAACTTCATTTAGCCGTGGAGCCTACCACGATAATCCCGGAAACCATGACGACTTCCACACTTACTCCATCGACTGGACCAGCAGCCAAATTGTGTGGGCGGTTGATGGCAAGACTGTTCGTGTTCTCACTCCCGAGACGGCAGAAGCCAACCAATACCCACAAAGCCCGATGATGATCAAGGTCGGTGTGTGGGCTGGTGGTGATGCGAACAATGCCAAGGGCACCATTGGTGAGTAGGGACTGTCCTGCAAATTACTCCTATCCTGCTTGCTAACAACTTTTGTTCGTGAAGACTGGGCTGGTGGTCAAACGGACTATAGCCAAGGTCCTTTCAAGATGTACATGAAGTCAATGACCGTGACTGATTACTCCACCGGAACTTCCTACAGATATGGTGATCGAAGTGGCTCATGGCAGTCAATCGTCGCAGAAGGGGGAAAAGTCAATGGAAACAAAGGCGCCGAGCCCGTGTCGGCCGAGCCTGCACCTGCAATTACTGCAACCATCGACAGCGTCCCGGTTCCCTGGAGTGGGACCCACAAAGAAACCTCAACCTGGGTCACCCCAAATGTCTGGCCCTGGGTGGCATCCGGCTCTCCTACGGCCTTGTCTACAGGATACCAGTATGACTGGGAGTCTAACTCTGGCCAGAACAAGCCACCAGGTGGGGGCTCAATGAGTGAGCAAGCCTCCAAATCCTTTTCCAATTAGATTCGTCTGTTAATACCGAGTCTTCTTCCCTACAGTCTACCTTCCGCTCTATGTCACCAGCGTTGCATTTTTCTTCGGCTGCCTTTTCCCGCTTTGGCGTTGAGTTTTGGCGAGGAACCTCGACTTGATTGATGAGCCGAATCACATGTTCGACTGAGCTCATTATTACCATTACTTCTACACGCTCACTCGAGAGACTACAGCGGCGACTTTAGCTTCTCATCTTCCATCGATAGGAAGTGCGAATACCCAGTTCCTGTGACGGCAGGTGCTTTGTGTGCTCTCTTTGGTGGTGTTTTTGCGTTGCATTGAACGCATCCGCTTTTGTATTATTATTGATGACTTCATCGGGCCCGGCGTTTGCTTATTCTTATTGGACATGACACATGAGCGATGACTTTAGCGGCTCACATAAACAGTCGCAGCATTTGGGCCCTTAGAGGCAGTTTATATCCTTGTTTACACTTTACCTTTCATCCATAGATGCCAAAACGGGAATATCCAATTGATGGGACATGCGTGCCCTACGTACATAACGTGTTTTCATTCTTCATACTCACTGGACTACTAGTCCGGTCATTAATCGACAGTCCTATGTTTCTATATACGTATCACTCACTTCTACTTCGTGCATCCAAATGGAGTTAGCGACTACCTATGTGAATTTTATAAGCCGGTGTAAATTAAGGTGTGAGAAAGTAATGACATGCAAGTTACATCTATAGCAAGATTCAGAATAGGCTTGGCCTGAAGTTCCCGTACCAAAATAGCAACAGGTCTCTTATTTTGGTAAACTCTGTCTTGACAGGACAGATGCAGGGCCGTGACGAGGAATTAAAGTAGAAAAGTGAAACATGAGATATATAACTGTAAGCGGAAGATATCAATCTAAGAAGACCAAGTATATATAAGAGAGGATAACTCAGATATTCCATACAGATATTGCCCTGAATAGGGCCAGGAGGAATTGCGATCCATGGATCTTCTACGGACCCTACGAAAATGGAAGAAATTCCAGGCCTCTGAAGATCAACTTCTTCCATTCCCAACACCTCATCGACCACCGTCGAATACCATCATCTCCTAAAATGAGCGCCGAAAACGGTATCCTCACTGCCCACCGAGCTTTGACTCTTCCAGAAAGCGTGGGTGAAATCCTCCTTTGGATCAACAAGGACGATGAAATCTATTACCGCACAAGCCACTTACTGAGTTGCGCTTTGGTAAATAAGACGTGGTGCCATGAAGCAACACGTATTTTGTGGGGTGACATGGAAGAACATGGGAAATATCTCAACGATATCATGACAAAAATCTCCCCCCAGCGCCACCAGACTTATGCCAGCCTTGTGAAGACTGCAAATGTAAAAGCATCCTATAACTGGGAGGCCAGATCAGCTGTACTATCAGCTTTAGAAGACGTGGTATTTCCGCAGATACACACTTTATACCTTACTCTATCCTTTGACTTGGATCCCGATGAAGGTATCGGTATCCCGACTTTGAATATGCCAAATCTACACACCCTTTCTGTCGACCGCTTGTGCAGAAGATTTCTACCCCTGACCAATGGGACTCTCTGACTGCCCGAATTCTGGTTTGTTGCGCTGACTATCATCTGCTGTACCACATAACTAACTGCCACTTTTTTGTATCTAGAAGCTCTTCCCAACTTTGTTGAATGTTCGAATTCTGGTACCAGCTATCCTTCATATTGCAGGATTTGAGGCTCTATCTGAAAACCTACCAAACTTGGCATCTATCGAGTTTGAGGAAATCTACTCCCAGTACGACACGGAAAGTAGTATGGAGGATACGCTTAGTGAGGATTTGGGCTTTAACAATACGGATCAGAATAGTACGGATGACGAGGATACGAGCAGCGAGTCCACACATAGCGAGTCTAAACATACCGAAGGTACGGATGAGTGGTAAGGGAGTTGATGAAACTTCTCATCTCTATATTCTTTGATAGTAGGGATATTCTGTTCTCGTGGCTTTTGGCATTACTTTTGCTTGACTTAAGCTAGCTTCTGGAACCCCTTTGACATTGTTTGCTTCTTGAGGCTTACATGGATGGATACGCCAAGTGCATGATGGCTGTGATGGATATAGAATCACATGGATACAGATATGACCCATACCATATAAGCATCTGCCACCTTCTCTGCCTTATATGTTTCGATCTGTTTCCCTGAGGTGAATTGAATGGTATAATGACAACGCCCAATGAGTTCCCTGAAACATCTTTTTCATATAACGCCTAAACTACAGGAGTTACTTGTCTATGTATCGGAGCTAAACCTATCTAGTAAGTGGATACCTAAGGTAGCTAATACAAATCGAAGTAAATGACGGGACAGGAAAGGTGTTCCGGCTGACAGAAAACCTCTATGAATACTAACGTAGCAGTCATATAACAAACCCCGCACGAATCCTTCATTCAATAAAGTCCGTGCCAAGGCCCTTTGACCTCGTTCTTAGGCTATACAGACCTTTATCCGTTACACCTCCCTCTTCTGAAGCCCCCCACGTACTTTCACTCCTTGCTCGGTCCCCTTTCTTGTCGACCCCACTGACTTTTGACGCATTGACTTTCAGTCGAATACACTGTCCCTTTCACCAGTCCTGCTCAATCCGCCGCCCCAGCCGAGGATTTATTCTTTTGCCGTGCATTATACAGTATAGGCTTCTCTTGAGCGAATGGGTTGGAGAATTGAAGTAGACTAAGCCAAGGTTGCTTTGAAGCCCATGTCTAATCTCCAAGCTGTTTTCTTGGTTCTATTACCGATGATGCGAATGTAACGTTGGGGCACCTGATTGGCGAGATGTGAGAAAGAGTTGTAAATTGGATGTTCTGGTCGGCTGATATGCCTTCTGCTAGTGCAGTAATTAGGACAATAATGGGAAACAGGGTTGGGCGAGTGACAGGCCAAAAATCAGACCCGGTCGTCCTCTCGAATAAGCCCAATGGGCGCCACCTACAAGCCAGAATACAAATCCCTAAATCCAACCTTTCATTTGATCCCAACAATCCTGTAATAGAAGATTTGACCGATTGGCTCCTCCTGTAGTTTAATTGTGCTATAATTCCTCTCATTTAATATGAAGAGCGTAGGAAAGTGTGAAGTGATTAAAAATGTACTCGAGCTTAGAAGAGTAGACATAACTAGTTAGTTATTGTAAGGCAAAATGATTAGTCACAGCGTATATGCACGTTCAACGCCTTATTTTAATTAATCATATTGTACGGAATAGTAGACCACATAAGTTGAAAATATTTTTTCTATTAAAGGCATCGAGTCCTCGGTCTTCTCTAACTCGGTTTCATTATCCTATCACATTTTGAAAATCTCATTACCTACCCACTATGAACCTGAAATTTTCAATTCCGCTTGTGCTTCTTAGCCTCATAACTGAAGTGGCTGCAGACAGTGGCTATGGTTCATCTTGTCAGGACTTTCAGTATTACAATGCAAGGAACGGAGACAAGACGATCTTCGCCAGTTGCCGAATGATAAGTGGGATATACAATGTCAACAATGCAATCAACGCCAATTCATGTTTCGCCAACACAAACGGCAAGCTTGTTGGGCGGCTATGGTAAATATTAATTTCTTTATATATGCGTTTAAGATTACCAACTGGTTTCCAGGGGTGGATTTTCTGGATCCTGTAAAGATGTCAATCTTTCTGGTACAGTTCTCCGTGCCAACTGTAAGAATACGGCTGGAAACTATGTTTACACCACGATCGAGACAAGTAAGTCCTAATAAGTATAACTATTATTACTATATTCTAACTTCAGATAGGTAATTGGATTGGAAATTATGATGGGAAAATGAAGTGTTTTGGGCAATCGGGCTACTGATGGAGGCTTTTAAGCCGATGGAGATTGTTGTGCGAGTCGAGGATCTTTTGTCCTGGAGAGCGTGTGCCTTCACGCTCTTGTAGATGTCTCCTATGTGTCGAGACATGAAGCGGTATAGTAAGTATGGATGGATGGATGGATGGATGATTCATCTACGCGGATCCCTCGTTTTGGACGATATGCAGCTTACCACTATGATGTAAATACATGACTGTTTCAACGATATTGTTCCGAACTTCCTACGGTAAACTTTGAGCCTCACCGGCGAACGGCTGTTTTGTTACACTCTGGCCTGTGAAAAGATTTGGGATACTCCATTACCCCGTGTGATGTGGTTCTCGGCAGAGACGAGACAGGCTTCTAGAGTTGCACCAACCCCAGAAGATGCAGAAGATGCGGGGAAACCAACTCCACACTTCTATATCAGGACCACTTTTCTGTAGGTTGCAGGACGAAAACCACATGCCCTGCTACCGAACAACCCGGTTCATGAAGATAAGGATGCTAGGATTTGAACCCAGAATTTTCCGAAATTGAAATTTCGAAAATCTCCACCATGGCGACGGTAACCAAGTGCTCCATCCATCCCCGGAGCGGTAGAGTAGATCTCAAAAACAATTTACCCTTCAGGCACATACAGTGGGACCTCCAAAATATTGGGCTAACCCCATGTACCTAGATACAAGCGGCCCGGGTAATGCCTGGCCGTAGAGTCTGTAAAGGGCAGATATCGCCCTATATGAGCATAGAGAAGAGGGATGCGGACTGGAATACTTGCATACAGATGATCAGCAATTTGGGGAATTCTCTGTAGATACTCACAGCTCTGAGCTCTCTTCATGCCTATTCCAGGTATTGTGTGCGGTGAATGAAACAATATCCGTAAACAGCTACTGGGAAAAAATGGTTGGCCGCTTATGCGTCCTTGTCAAATCTTTGTCCTGTTGGTCGTCTTCTCAGAGATGTTTTTCCTTTCGGGCTACGGATTCCAGAATTAGAATAATTAGCAAAATACGATATATACAACATAGGCATTCCGAACCCGTGGACACCTTAGAATGCTATAAATATGAGGTTAGCATGAATTAACCTTGGAGGGAAAAGCGGTTACCTACATAAGATCGATACGAACCATGGAACCGACTGAAGGCCATCCATGGATGGATGCATGCCTGCATATTATGTCATCACTTAATTTTTTGATTATTCAACATGCCGATTCCTCGGCCGATCATATAATCGTATCGCCTCCGCATTTGTCATTCTTCTTCTCCAACATACACATTTTCGATACGGAGTAGTCAAGACACTATATTTCACACTAATTCTGTACAATGGGCGAAGAAATAGCTAAACCGAGTGGTCGCAAACGGGGTCGTCCTCGCACTGTGACTGATGATCAAGAAGTGCCAGAGGTGGGTCAGATCCAAACGCCCCAAATGCCCGTTCTTATACTCATTAATTTCTAGAGACGTCGCAAACAACTCCGCCTCGCGCAGCAAGCATATCGCAAACGAAAGGAGACCACGATCGGCAACCTCCAGAATCGTGTACACGAATTAGAAACCGGCATCGAGAATATCAGCCAGTCTTTCCTCTCCTTCAGTACTCTTCTTATAGAAGAGCGAATCCTCTTACAATATCCGCATATCGCATCGGCCCTTCAAAACTTAACTCAACAATGTGTGTCACTTGCGAAGGCCGGGAGTGATGAACCGACTGAGGCTCTCCCGCTCGTTCGGGTCGCAAAAGAGTCCCGAGTCACAAATAATAATACAGACAAGACATCAGTTCTGGATAACGCCTACTCAGAAGCTTCAACAGATGCCGAGGATATAATACAATCAGCTACCACAAGCTGGCCCAGCCCTCCTACCCCGCCATATCAAGATCAATCCGTCCTGCCGTTCAACCTCATGTCATCACCTACCGTTCAATTTCCTTATATGACTCCGCCGTTATCAAACTCCCCAACGCTAGATCTACTATCTAGTACTATAACGCCGGGCAGGCAATGGAATATCGCACAACGTCTAGTCCGGGCTTGTTCTCAGAATGGGTACCGCCTCCTTCTGAGCAATCCAAACCAATCCATACTCCAGCATATCTTTGGGTCTATCCCGAGTCTGCCAGAACGCAATCGTCTGCTCTCGGGATTTTGCGCTGTCATGCAAGACAAGACCGGTGATCTAGCAGATTCCAAGTCTAACGTGTTTTACGCCCTGCGGTCCAGTCTGAACATACTCTCGGGTGAACAACCTCAGGTTTCATCTAGAACATGGCAGATTGCGCTCGAATCAGCCTCTGGTGATTGGTTGGATGCCAACGGAGTCCAAAGATATCTGTGCGACAAAAGAGTGATCATTGAAAATTCCTCTGATTCCTCTGGTCATCTTGATTATTCAGTCTCGTCATCACTTGATGTAACGACCTTCGTCAAAAGTGAGTTCTTGGAGACAAAATGTACGGAAGATATCCACTAATGTCACTGCAGTCCTCTCAAAGGAAGGTATATGCGTTGGGAATGGACCAGTATTCCGACAGCAGAGTGTTGAAAAAGCTCTTCGTCTGGCAACGACAAGTTTGCCCTGGGATTTTGATAATCTTTGTGATTTATAACACACATCTCTACCTGTAACTATATAATGCAAACACGAACATATGACATGTGGCCCAGCAATTCGGCCAATTGACAATTGACTGTACCCCTTTGGTTGTACTAGCAGCGACTGCTCCAGGTCTTCAAGACGATGTCCCACCTGTCCATTCAATTTACGTTACAATTTCATTGGATGAACTAAAGAAAAGTCTGCTCGTTTCAGGGCAAAATGCCGCATTGTGCTAGTCCACAAGATCTGCTATACAAGCGTGCCAATGCTAGCAATGCAACTTATCATACTGATCTGCATATTCCCATATCCTATCTCAGATTTGTAACTCTTCCTCCACGCCCTTCGGCCGGTATGTGGATCTCCGGGTAGCATCGCAATAATCCACTAGTCATTATTGGCTCGGCGTGACTCACCTGTGTTTTTAGGCATCAAACCTCTCGGCATAAGCAACAAAGTTGCTTATCATCAAGCGAATTTGAGTCATTTCTCGTGTTTAAATTGAGTTCATCCCGCTGAAGTTACGGTGTTCCGAACTTATCCTTGCCTTTCCAAGTTTTCCTACATTCTCCCAACATCATGACCGGTCAACCAACTCCCTTTGGCAAGCCAATGCTAAAGCATTGGATGTTTGACCCCGCCTATAAGAATCTTAACCATGGTTCATTTGGTGCCCATCCAATTCCTGTGAAAGAAGCACAACGTGCCTTCTTGGATATTGCCGATGTGCGGCCAGATCCATATATCCGCCGATACCATGCAGAGTATCTAGACGAAGCTCGTGAGGCTGTCGCAAAAGTTCTTAACGCCCAGCGGGACGAGTGCGTGTTTGTTAAGAATGCGACTACAGGCGTGTCAACAGTACTGTATAACTTGGCTTTCCAACCGGATGAGGCACTCATCTATTTTGAGCCTGTCTACGGTGCTGTCGAGAAGGGTGTTGTCTCGTTACAAGAGCATAGCTCCTTCCCATCCAAAAAGGTATCTTTCCAGTATCCCATTACTGAAAACGAGCTAGAGCGCCGTTTCCGCGAGGTAATTCGTCAAACTCGTGAAGAGGGGCTGAAGGTCCGGGCCAGTGTCTTCGATGCCATTGTCAGTAATCCGGGTGTGCGGTTCCCCTTTGAACTGATTACTGCAATTTGTCGTGAAGAGGGTATTTTGAGCGTCATCGATGCTGCGCACGGTATTGGAAATATCCATCTCGATATGGCGAAGCTACAACCTGACTTCTTCGTATCAAATTGTCACAAGTATGAAATATCCCCCATTATCCTACCCTTTGCAAAAACTTAAGAAATCGTTAATATTGACTCGGCTTCATAAAGATGGCTCTACACACCCCGCAGCTGTGCAGTCCTCTACACACCCCGACGTAACCAGCATCTAATCCGCAGCACTGTGCCAACATCTTGGGGATTTATCCCAGCCCCAGAGTCTCCCGAAACCCTCGCCTCAGTCCTTGAAGACCCCAACGCCCCCGTAACAAAGACTGCCTTCGAGCAACTTTTCGAGTTTGTCGCCACCAGTGATGACTCCGCGTACATCTGCGTCCCGGCGGCGTTGAAATTCCGCGCTGAAGTCTGCGGAGGCGAGGACGCTATCATTGCCTACACCCATCGTGTTGCAAATGAAGGCGCTGATGCTGTTGCGGCCGCTCTCGGTACTGATGTCCTGCAAGAACCTGATCTGAAGCCTGGCCAGGAGAGCCGTATGCGCCAGTGTGCTTTGACTACAGTCCGGCTGCCTATTGCTGTTGCTACTGCTGAGAAGGAACCTGGATCATTCGATCACAACCCTTTGGTTGTGTTATCCGAGGAAGAAGCCCCCAAGGCATTTTCTTGGATCCAGACGCAGCTGTTGGATCACCATAATACTTTCCTGCCAGTTTTCCGCCATGGACCTTGGCTATGGACTCGTCTGAGTGGCCAGACTTACTTGGAGAAAAGTGATTTTGAATCTATTGGGGTTGTCTTGCGTGACCTCTGTGAACGGGTTGCGAAGAAGGAGTTCAAGGCTTGATCTGGCTGCCTCTAGCATACTTAGCAACCATTATGTAACTAGCAACAAATTCAAATTCACAAATAGTCCATACATTTAAAATCAGGTTCACGTTCGGACCAGAAGTAATAAGTAGGTAACTGGGTCAAAGCCAGACTGGTGACACTGCCTTCGCCTCCAGGGCTACCCAGGGAAAGGCCGGCCACCGTTCCAAGCGTTTACCCATAAGACCAAAAGGTCATAACAAAGTCAATGGGTAAAATTGAATTGAATTGAATTGGCTTGGCTTTAGTGGTATATATATGTAGGGTCACCCACTTCAGGATCACACCTTTCAACCGTCATATTGCACCATAAGCGGGACGTACATGTTATTTATATACAATTCTCAATCCCCAAGATCCTCTAGATTAATCTTTAATAGATTCAAAGCATACTAAAATTATCATGTCCGTCGCAAAGGAATTTGAGGCAGCCAATGCCAATTACGTCGCATCCTTCACCAAAGGCGACCTGCAGCTACCCCCACAGCGGTGAGTTTGTACCTTTCTAGCCCTAATTTTACTACACCAGTATCCTGTAACAGGCACATCTGACTATATTTCTTTGATTCTAGAAAGGTAGCTGTGGTGGCTTGTATGGATGCACGTCTTGGTACGTATACTCGGCAGTACTTCTGATATGAGAGATTGATACTAACACTTACTATGTATTTGGTAGATCCTGCCCGCGTGCTCGGCCTTGAAGAAGGCGATGCCCATGTAATCCGCAATGCTGGCGGTAGAGTCTCAGATGCACTGCGCAGCATTATCATTTCACAGCAGCTGCTGGGCACCCGCGAGATCGTTATTGTGCACCATGTACACAACCCCATTGAGACTAAGCCTCGGTCTTGGCTTCATATTACCTTAAATCGATTGCTGATTTTATCTTCAGACAAATTGTGGAATGCTCACTTTCACCGACGAGGGAATCAGAGACAAGATCCGCGCAGATCTACACCAGAATGTCGATCACATTGCGTTTCTACCCTTCGGGGATCTCGAGCAGAGTGTTCGGGATGATATTAAGATATTGAAGGATAGTCCTCTTGTCTTGGATGTTCCAGTCACAGGTTACTTGTATGAAGTAGAGACTGGGAAGATTGTTCTGGTTGAAGAGAGTCAATAATTGACCCTTTCGATATATAATACTACGTAGCAATCTGACCAAGTCATCTTACCATAGAACCTACATGTATGGATGCACGGATGAGACGAATTTGGATTATGTGCGATTTGGCAGGTATGTAACATACCACCACCCTACTAGTGGCTTAAATAGAGAAAGAGAGAGTAGAGACAAAGATAACGCCCTCGGATGCTCCGACAAGAAAAGAAATCGCAATAGCCAATGAGCCAGATCCCACAGAAAAATATACATAGGTGGTTATACTCCAACAGCACCCTTTTCGGCTGCCGCAGCCTTATGTAGGCCACGCCAATCCTAAACGGGTGTTTACCGTCTTCTGGCTCCCTTGATCACCAAACTACCAACCACACCCGCGACGAGAGCCAAGCCACCCACAATCGCAACGCCAACCAGGCCCTCCTTGGCGACTTTATCATCGATGAGAGATCCAAGGCTGGCAGCTTGGAGGTTTGCGGGCTCCTTCTCCAGGAGCAAATCGTTGTATCGGCGGGCTTCGCCATAGTTCCCTAGCTTGAAGTTGCCGAGGGCCAGATAATAGAGGCATTCACGTCGCCGCTCTGGAGCTCCGCGGAAGATCTCTGAAAGCAGGCGAACGCCTTCTTGTTGTTCGGAACGGATGTTGGATTTGATCAGACCCTATAATTAATATCACCCCCGCAAAGGCGGGGAGCACCGGTTAGCGCGGGCATTCTTGGACAGGGCTGGAAAAGCCATACCCATGCGTAGTTGAACTTTGTCTGGATCCCGACATAGTCGCCTTCTTTCTCATATTGCGCTCTCAGGACCTGTAGCTCGGCGGGTTTCAAGGGACTGTGTCAGTGATGGTCAAGTTAGTTCTTACAATTCCCAAATTTTCATTAGCAGATTTTTTTCGCGGAAAACAAACCTTTCCGCATCGGCGGCATCTGGAGGGGTAAAGCAAATTAGTTTTCAGACATCAGGCATCAGTCGGAACAAACCACCTACATGGAAGGTTGGACATGGCGAGATAGGAAGTTGGTGTATTTAGAAGGAGTGATATTGATCAGAACGAGAATTTGAACGATTCAATAACAGTCTGTCAAAAGTAAGAGTCTTAGTTGTGTTGGGCGAGAAGACAAAAGCGAGGACGGAGAAATCACAGACACAACGTCACTTTGCGGAGGAGCAACATATGTGGCGGTGCTGTGGCTGTTGCTGCCGCAACAAGCCCAAAACAACCGACTTTCCACCTCGACATCTGTAACCACCGACACCATGCTGCTCGACGAGGACCCTGGAACTGTATGTACTAATTTATTTGCTTTTATAATTTGCACTTAAGGAATTTGCTAACGGGTTCAGCTCATCCATCACACGATCGGCAACTTCAACATCCACCCCGATAAACAAGCCGTCACACGAATCAATGACTCGCTCGCAACCCTCCAGCAATCGCGCGATCTGCGCATTCGCGAGGCCGAGTCGGCCATGCGAAAGCTTTCACGCCACCTGAATTCCCTAACTACCCAACACGAAGAAGCCGTGGCCGTGCACGACTCCGGCAAACACGCGGCGGAAATTGTGGAGTTGGACACCAAGAAGTTTCGCATCGCCAAGGCCGCATCGGAACTAGAGATTGAAAGCGAGCGCCTAGAGAGCGAGCTGGAGATGCTTAAGGAAAGACTAGTCGACCTTGAGTCCCAGGGTCTCGAGGGTGATGAGACAACGCGGCGTGAGCGCGAGGCTGATGATGCGACAATGTGCGTGCCTGTGCCCCAGTCTTGGGTTGAGATTATTGCTAATATCTATCTAGTCTGCGCCTCAAGATCTTCCGTTCTCTTGGTATTGATATCGAGCCCGATGAGGCGGGCAATTTCAACCGAGCAGTCATTCGCAATAGCCGCAAGGGCGATGTTCATGTCGTCAATATCGACCCAAAGTTCTCCCGCTTCTTCTACGCAAATTACTTTTGGTCAACGATGCAAGGATGATGGTGATGATGATACCGGATGGTTTTCTGGTGTCGGTGCTCTTTGGCGTTTTATTTTGGAGGCTGGAAGCCGTGTCTTTCTCTCGCTGTTGGTGTTTCTATACCCTTGGATTATTTTCTGTCATAAGTCATACAATTCTTCTTCATACATTGCAGCCATATGGCTGCCTGGACATAACATCTTTTCAGGTAGTAGCACATTCACTCGGATACTGGCTGCTGTTCTAGCCGCTCCTGTAAAGCTTGAACGACCTTCTTCCGTTCTGCCTCCGATATTGACCTATCAAGCAGTCGAGTAGAGGTGTCATGCGGTAGGACTCTTTCTACCGCATCTAGCAGCTCCCCCTTCTGGATTTCCGACAAGTCCATACCCCAGGATGCGACCCATTGCTCGGCGAACTCGATAAGCTTTTGCTCCACCTGGTCCATATCAGGGATATCGCATCCATCCCAGGTCAATAGCATTTCCTTTGCAACCGAGCCAGACCGGGCATCTTCTGTAGTTCCGTATCGCGTTTCCACGCCTAGAGGGCCAATCCCAAGTTCCTCTGCACGGGCATTCCAAAGTGCCTGCTTCAGGGTTCCGTCCCGTTCGATCATCATCCAGAACAAAGGATATGCGCTCCGAGCCAATGTATGACGAACCCCTTTGGTCGCCTCGCGCGGGCTCACTAGCACGCCAACTGTCTCGCTCGTGCGCCACCCAACAGGCGCCTGGCGGAAGGTTCCTTCCAACTCGCGGACGACATTAGGGCCAACTTTGACCTTCAGCGATTTGCATTGTACCAGTACACGGAGTGCACGCTCTCGCTCCCGCTCTGGAAGGTGCCAAGTGCCAACGAGATCGATGCCGGCGTCGTCGCGACCGCCGATGCGGTCGAGACTTAGCGCATAACGACGTAGGGTTCGGAGAACTGTATACTCGTAGTGTGTACCAACATGTACCGAACTCGTCTCTGGAAGAGAACTATGCTTCGCGTAGGAGAGAAAGGTCGTCAAGTCATTGTGGTGTTGCGAGGGCGGAGATGGAGCTGAGGGGAGTTTAAAGAGCCGGCGGGTGAACGGTGTCAGCTCATGATGAACCTGGGAGCTGGAAAAGCAGCGATATGTGTTTGATTTGAGTCTCAAGTGGGAGTATCCGGCAGCAAGGCCATGGCGTAGTCGCAACAGGCGCATTGAGTGATGTGAGGAAGAAAAGGCTTCACCGCATTGGAGCTTCTCTCCGCATTTGCTCCGCTTCACGACCAGGCATTCTACTTTTATTTTCTTAACTTACTCTAAGCGTTTTCATTTTCTCCTCTAGTCGCTACCATGGCTGACATCCTCACGCAGCTCCAGACTTGCCTGGATCAGGTAAGATCCGCTTCGCAATACCTGCATTCAAACCCTTGCTCATCATGCGGACAAAATAGCTCGCAACACAATTCTACGCAACCCTTGGCTATCTCACAACATACCACGACAATGCGCCTACGACACCACCGCCGAATGTCCCCGACGCAGTACCTGCCCTGGCCAAGATCGCTAAGAACTCGTCAGCGCCACCGGTCCCAGCAGCCATCGCAAACAAAGCGGGGGGTGCAGCCGCCGTTGCAGGAAATGCATCACCCCCACAAGCGCCTCCTCAACAACCTGGAGCTGCGCCAGGGACGGCACGAGAAGGGGATGATCCCAACCTTCCTCCCGCGCCAGACTCACCCAGAACATTTGCGAGCCGGCAGCGGGAGCTTGCGCGCGATCTCATTATCAAGGAACAGCAGATCGAGTACCTCATCTCTGTGCTTCCTGGTATTGGCGCCTCTGAGGCCGAGCAAGAGACCAGAATCCGAGAACTGGAGACAGAGCTCAGAGACGTTGAGAAGGAGCGGGCTGCGAAAGTCCGGGAGTTGAAAAAGCTAAGGACTCGTCTAGAGGATGTACTCGGCGCTGTGGCTGTGGGAATCCACGGGGATGGGTACCCTCGAAGGTGATTATGTGTGTTGTCAGAGACACACTATTAAGCTGCACTTTGGGAGTCATACAAAACGGATAGGGCTGGTGCAACTTTTCATTCTCCTTGCTATATTCTCGGCGTTATGTGATGGAAGGTCTTTTACCGATTGCACAGGCATATGAATGAATCTCACGAATACCAACATGATGACACCATTCTGTTCTCTTCGAACCTTGCCATGGAGTACTTCTTTGCAAGATGCTAATGCCATTTATCCCGAAACCTAGAAAACGGTTGTCTTTGTGTACTTGCCCGAAGCCGGTTTGTATAGGCCTAGCTATCCAAGCAAGTTCTATCGATATCGATATTATTACTTTCTGGTCGTCTTTTACTTTGAGATGATGAATATGGGAACTAAAACAAATCACATCTTCATACAACCCAAAGCCATAGATACTCTATGACGAGATCTTTGACGATGTACGACTTTGGTAACTAGATGCCATGAGACATGGTATGTTTCTAATGTCTTCAAATCTCTTACAGTAGCTTAGCTAGAAAATAAGAATTAACAGTACCTATACGGCATAATTCCTCAAAAAATGAAATTTCTATTCGTAACTTGCGGTTAATCCTAATATGCTATCTTAAAATGGTACGAGCTGCACTGGAATTCAAAACGTAGAAGAATTTCTATGGGTAGAGCAAGCAAACCGTGTACAAACGAACGTGCTTAGAAACTGTCCTATCAAAAGGAAGCATGGAAATAAAACGCCCGGTATATGACCATAAGGACATCTGGAGAATCAAAGATGTAATAATAGATACTAACGCCTTCTCCTTTTCCGGGTATCATTGAAACGAAACCAGCTAGCCACCGGCATTGGGGCAGAAATAGAAATCAAAAGAAAATCAAATGGGAACAGAAAGGGGCAAATGGGAGTTGAAAACGGGGAATATGCTCGGCTAGGATGAAAAAGAAAATGAGACAATCTATTTGAAAAGGCTGCGGTATTCACGCATGCGAGCCTCCTGTGTCTCTCGCTTGTCTTGCTTTGCGCGATTCAGGCTCGTGTCCGCCATCTCTTGCTTCTTCTTGGCAAGATCCATAATCTTCTCCTCAATGCTGTCTTTCATAACGAATTGGTAGGTTTGCACAGGGCGAGTTTGCCCAAGGCGATGAACACGATCAATCGCCTGAGCAACAGCAGCTGGGTTGTACTGGGGCTCCATAATAAAAACACGCGAGGCAGAGGTTAGATTCAGGGCCACACCACCAGCACCAATGGTTGCCAAAAGAACTGTGATATGGTCGTTTTTGGCAAATTCCTCAAGTGCCTTCGTGCGTGCTGACAGAGCCATGGTACCGTCGAGTCGGACAAAGCCATCAAGCCCATTGTTTTTCAAGGCGACCTCGATGAGATCCAGGTGCGAGGTCCATCCAGAGAACACAACACTCTTGATAGGCGACTCGCCTTCGAGCTGCTTGCTGTCTTCAACACTTTCCTTCAGGTAGTTGACTAGTGCAATAGTCTTGGTGTGCGGTCCTTCGTAATCACCGAGATTCTTGCCCAGCTTCCGGGTTTGCCGTTCACTTTCCTTTTGGGCCTGGTATTCTTCAAAGCCAGCAGGTGTGATGGTTGAATATTTCAGGTGAATCCAGCCTTCGCACCTGGGGCAACGGGTCTGGGTGTCGGGACACGAATCGAATGTGTGTTTCCAGCCAGAGAAGCAACCGGGGCAGAAAATATCATGGCATGGTAAGGCAATAGCCATCGGAGCATCACGGGCGACAGCTCCCACTGAATTCAGAGGTTCGTCGAGTTCTCGATTACAATTACCACACCGGGGGACCGAGTTTTGCTGCATCAGGTCGAACATTTCGTATGCCTTCTTGTCTATGGCGGCTCGGGTTTCGTCCGGTTCGCCCTCCTCCAGGTCAATTGCGTCGTTGACGGATAAGCCCTTAATTCTTTCCCGGTCTGAAATGTCAAGAAGCTCTTTTCCATGTGCGCTAACTTGACGGAGAATCATCATGGCTTTCAAGACATGGTGATACATCCGACCGCCCATCTTGCGTTTGTCCTCACCAGCAATGACACTCATCATCACATTTGATTCCGCGCGGAAGAAGTCATGCAATTGCTGTTCCTTCTCGGTGAATCTTAGTGTGATGATATTGTCTTTCCTGGGCGGCAGATTGATTTTATCCTTCACTCTGCGCAAAGTGAACGAATCCACCAGAACTCGCAACCTGGCAAGTACATTGGGGTCACCATTTTTGACCGGGCTAGATATATGCTGTGAAAATTGGCTTCGCTGGTCATAAGGCACAATCCGTAAAAACCTGGTCACAGACAGGAGATCTTCCATGCGGTTTTGGATTGGGGTTCCAGTAACCGACCATCGACGCTCGGAGTGGAGACCGAGGATTGCCTTGGTTTGTGCCGCATTTTGCTCTCTAATGATGTGAGCTTCGTCAAGAACAATCCGGAACATGTTCATTTTTGTCAAGGGGCTGAGTTTTCCACTTCTGGCGCCACGACCCGAAATCTCGCTGAGAACTGTACTGTATGTCGTGATGATAATATCGAACTCGGAAAGTTCATTGAAGTCAGTGATACGCGATGGACCATGAAAAATGTAGTAGCTGATGGAGCGTGGCTTGAGATGGTCCTTGATCTGTGTAACCCAATTACTCACTGCACTCAGCGGGACAACTAATAGCGTTGTCCGTGTGTTGCGAATTCCTGGATTTCGGCGAACAAGAACAGGATCAGGAGCCATCTCCGTCCAGTCATCAGCCAGACTAAGCGATGAGGTGATGAGTGAAAGAATACTCAAGGTCTTGCCCAGCCCCATCATGTCGGCCAACAAGCCACCTAGGGCCTCCTCGGGCTTTTGCTCTGAGATCATTCCAGTGATGATCTCGCGGTACTGTGTCTTGCCATTGGGCGTGTTTTCCATTCGCCACAAGGAATTGTTGTCTTCTTCTTTCCGGCCAAATTTCCGCGGCTTCTCTTTCTCTGTCATGAACCACAATGCTTGCTTTTGGTGATGGAGCAATGGTGTTTCGATATGATGAGACGGCTCCATGGTGGGAATGTTCGCGTTGGCAAGCTGGTCGAACATCTTCATGACTGCATCATTGGCCTCTTCAGCAGTTCGCGCTTCATATCTAATGCCTGGCCCTGGACGAGAACGCCCAGAGCTGTTGGCGGCGGCGTTTGCGGCGGCCAGCTGGCGTCGGCTCTCTGCGTGAGGGTTGAATACAGTAGTCCCTTTGTCGACAGAATTTGGGGTTCCTAGCCAGACATTGCGGTGAGATAGGAAGTTGCCAATAGCCTCTGCGTTCTTTCTCTGGCCATATATGTTGAGGCTTGCCCGCCATAGCCCTGAGGTGGGATGCCAAATCTCTTCATTCGGTGAAGTTCTCCGGACATCCAATAGGGCTTTCACTTCAATGCCAGCTTCTTCGGAGTCCAGGAGGGGACACAGCCCTTGTGCCGTCTTAGGGTCAATTGTACCGAAGATCCTGCCGTGAGGGTCCGCGACCTCGATCTTAAAATTGCCCTTCTCAGCCCGGCGGTGCAAGTCTAATTTAATAGACGGCCAAGCATGTGACCAGTCAGTGTAAACAGAGGGCCCTGGTTTGGGGACTAAATAGGCCATGACCATTGCGCTTTCGACTTTGCCGTAACACACACGCTGGGCGCTTAGGTCCGTTGAACCAGTGCATAGGACTTCGTCATCGTCCTTAGGTGTGTTCACAAGATCTCAAACAATGTTAGATTAATCCAGACAAAATCAGGCGAAATGAGAGAGATATAATATCTCATACCTGCTGTCAGATCCACCACGTTGGATGTAGTGGAGATTGGTGTTGGCTTCACATCCTCCTCTTTCATCCATTTCCCAAGTCCGCTATCTCCAGAGATCGACGCCGGTGCTGTCGCCATGTTCGCTTTCTCTTCCACGTCATGCTCGGTTTTCATTTTCTTGGTCGGCTGGTTCTTCCGTTTTTCAACGCCATAGACGTTTTCGATCAAATTGGGGCGGTGGGTGATGCCTTGGTCGTCACTCATCTCGCGGTAACTTCTTTTCGTGTCGCTTTCGTTGTCTTCGTCATGGGTAGTGCTGAACTGCACTGTCAGGCTGGGTTCTGACTTCATAGCAGGGGTCGAGATTTCGGACGCCACACTTGGAGAGGTTCGACTAGTGGGTGGTTCAAAGCGTGTAGTAGTCGCAGTGCCCACGGGAGCTATAGGAGAGGCAGTATATGAACCATTTCCTTGCTGTTTACCTGGACCTTCCAGAAGTGAGCCTTGGGAATCTATGGAGTCGAGAAGCATCGGGTCTGTCGGGGGAGAGATAACGGGGGAAGACAAATTGTGGGAAGAAAGACTCGAAGACGAATCAAGCGAATTGAGGGCACAAGGGGGAAAAGAGTCAGCTGGGCCAAGGAACTCTCCATGCATAACCGAAGTATCCATATGAGGGGCATCGGAGACACCAGATTCAGCCGGCTGCGTTATATTCGTATGCATGGACTGAGCATCCATCTCCGTGTCAAGATGGACAGGAGTCTCAGGTGGGTCAGGAAGGTCCCTAGGCACGGCCGAGGCATCCATTGTATCCACGCAAGGGAGGGTAGAAACACGAGGAGAAGAACCAGGGGAACCAGGAGAATCAAGCGCAGCAGCACAAGTCATATGCCCAGACTTGTCCGAGGGTGGCTCGGAGGACATGGCGACATCATCCACGGGAGACAAATCACTCGCGGGGGGAGAACAGAAGGGATCATTACCATTGCTTTGAGCTTGTCTTTTGGAGCCCTTGGGATTTAGAAGCATCGCAGCATGAGATGCCATGATGTCTCAATTATTGTCGAGAAATCCAGGATAAGGTTTGGTCAAATTCAAGGTCGCCTGGTGCTGTGAAAGCAAAGTGATGAAGGTCAGTGGATGGGAGGGGCAATTCAGCTCGTTGTTACTTTGACTTACTGTGAATAGAAAGATAGGACCGAGTTCTTTCTGACTAGCAAGCTTAATTCCCAAGCTCAAATTTAAGAAGTATTCGACGGTGTCAGGTGGCTTGGGATGAGAGAGGTGATTGCGGCTTGGGATTGATTCACCACCTGCTTTGTTGTAGGTTTTTATTGTGAGGGCAGATCAATCAAGTTCAAAATTTTTGAGGGTTGATGTCACGTATCAAATATTAACGTCGGAGCGAAGTGATTATGCGAATGGTCTGGCCAACGAAAGGTGCGTCTTCCAGACGCGAGAGTCGCGAAATCTCCGGCGTCATTGAAAGTGAGAGATACGGAAGAGAAGCGCGGGGAACATGAGTTGCGCAGTTGTCTCGGTCATCAACGTATATTATCTAGGGGAAATCACGTCGTTTTCGTGGTCGCAATCCAGTCGGCGCCTTGTTTGCCTCGTCGAAGGAATCGTGATCAGGTCCGTGGCTCTTGTGTTGGTCGAGGGGAAGCTTCTTGAACTCGAGTATTTCGGGGGTCCTTCGATTCAAGCGACTTTCTGCTCGAGTTGTAAGCTCAGTCGTATTGTTAGAAACTCGAAATGACGAAGTTGGTCGCTGAAGTCCTCGGAGAAACCCGCCGATAAGATCTTATCAGCCCGCGCGCTTATAGCGTGATGGGGAACGCAACCTTGGAAGTACTTAAATGGATTTATATCAAACTTTGCAAGGTTGGCGAGTCCAAAAAGAGGACTTTTGAAAATACAGGAGACGAAAAAGTGTATGCATCTAAAAGCGTGACATAGATATATTCCGAGATCCCGCTGTGATTAGTTGCCCCCGGGTCATTTTCTATAGATGGTGGAGATTTACTGGATCTTAAGGCCTAGGTACTTTGTTTCGGCTTTGTTTCTCCTATGATACTTTGATTACTGGCACATACTATCTACACAGGTGGAGTTGTCACGTTTATGGATTGCTAATTTGTTTGACTCTGGCCCAGGTGTGTTTGCGAGGGCTAAGATGATGTCTCACAAAACAATGTCATGCATGCAGTTGAGACTTATAGGAGTGATTTTGAGGGACGTATTGCGTCAAATATCAACTTGATTTTCGACATGAGATATTATTGACGTGGAGCAGAAACCGAGTATGGAGTACGGGTTATCCCTATGGTAGAGTTAGGAGCTGTCTTGTGACATACTGCAGGGTCACATGCCACTAACGTCAACAAAGTTGATCCCCTGGGCTAGAAAAATAGATGAAGGTATCATAGAATTAAGTCTCGTCAATATGCTACATGAGGCAGATCGCCCAATCAATGCGCCACAGCCCAAGAACAGCCAGAGAATGTCTATATACAACACGGAAAATCTCCCAAATCATGAGCATGTCCAACAAAGGACTCGTGTGAAATGTCGCAGAAAAAGAAAAAAGACGCACAAGTCGAAATCTCGAACAGAAATTGGAAACTGTTTCCCCGAGAAGACAACGATGCAGAAGATAGCTGCAAATTAAATGAGAAGTAATGCAAAAATATAGAAAAGTGAAAAGGGCAGTACGACACAATCTAACCTTAACACCAGGTGAAAACGGGATTTTTGCTCTTCACAGCTTCCAGGCGCTCGACAATCACCTTGCGCTGGTTGCCTTCCATACCCTCTGCAACTGCGTAGCCAAGGTCACCTTCGAGATCATCGCTACCAAATGTGTTGACATGAGGAACGCGGAAGGACGTGGAACCACCGTTTTTACGATGCCTGTGCTGACGGGGAGGAAGTGAAGACCATCCATCTAGAGAACCCCCGGTGGTTCGACCGCCGAAGTCATTTATAGTTGCAGGGCTACCGACAGAACCATCAGCACGTTCGCTGTCATTGTCAGGTCGACCACGGGTGAGTTCGAACCGGTTTGGATTGGGGAGGTCGCTTGGCGACGAATTCAATCCTAATAAGTCATGTTCGGGGATCGGTTGGGAAGATGCGGATGCACCGATGTCCATCTCTTCTTCATCAGGGTCATAATTCATAGATCGGTTCCTTTGCCTGTCCGTGGAAGGCGCGCGCATTGGAATAGCAACGGGGACATCAACTAAGTCATCCCATACACAGACTCGGGTCCGTCGAGTGAGCTCAAGCGGGCCGTGATCTGGTTGCTTCAATGTCTCCACCACATTCCAGGCTTGACCTTTCATGACAGCAATTTGTCGAGCGAACATGCTCTCTTTGAAATCATCGTCTTGGGAAAAGATACCACGCAAGGCCATCTGTGTACCGCTCCACCAGGCTGTGGAGGTCAATAGTGGAAGGAAATGGTCGCGAGTTTTCTGCGAAAAGGGTTGTCCGATCAAAGAAACTGGCAGGAAAAGCCAACCGAAGGGGAAACTGCGCCACTGCAAGTTGTTAGTGTTGAAAAGTTGTAATCACCTGTGAACTCGAAAACTTACGGCATCTGGGTGTTTCCATGGCCAGGATAGACTGTTGTCAATGGCGCCTAGCTGAACAGAAGCTGACTGTTCCGATGAGGCTAGTGGTGTTCCCGTGCGGCTGATAGCCATCATTGTTTCATGCCGCTTGTAGGGGTGGAAGGAGTGATTGGCGGTGCCATTCGAATTCACGGAAACAGGACGAGGCGGGGGCATAAGCTCGTCATCATCGTGCTTAGGCTGTGGCTCTGTATGTTTTGGGGGCTCTGCCACGATAGAAACCTGCTCTGTCCCCCAGTCGATCTTAACCATCCAGTTGTCCAAACCTCGATCGGTATTTCGCATGATATAATCCAAAATCACAAGCTTCTCCAACTCTTCGCGGAAGGATTGTTTGAGATTCTCGGTCCAGTAAAACCGGCGCTCGGCGCTTCCATCAGACGAACCGGCTGGCGAGGGCACATAGCCCGGATCTTCGTCATCCTCGTCGTCTGATTGCGCCCCCGATGGACGACAGGCCTCATTCCATGGCCGCTTCTTGCGCTTCGGGGCATCCTCGGTACGGAATCCAGTATTCATCTGGTCAGGCCAAGGATGCTCTCGGAGGAAAATGTTGGCATCCTTAAATCCCTTCAGGAAGACTTGGAAACTGCCAGCCTTGGGAGGCAGAACTTTCTTGCCTTTCCTTGCTTTTCTCCGATCCCAGAAATCGTAGAAGAATGATCTCGAGGACAGGTGTACAATACCGGTGTAAGGGACGAGGTTTGTGCGCAGGCGAGCATCGAGAACGTATGCAGCGGCTTCGGAGACGTATGAGAGATTAGGAATGAGACACGCACGGCCGAAAAAGCAAGGGAACAAGTTGCGGTGGATCCATTTAGTCCATTTGGGGTTCCGTGAGGCGTACGGCTCTTCGTCCTTTGGCTTGAACACACCCACTACTTTCCCTTCAGGGTTTCGAGCAAAGTAGCTGCCCGAACTTCCTTGCGAGATCATCCGCGGATGTACGTCCATTTCAATCGCGAGACGCACACTTTCGATAATCTCCTCGTACTCCGCGCGAGCCTGCCGTTGCTGACCCTCAAACTCATCTGACTCGAGAGCCTCGGCGCTCACAGGGGTAACTCCAGGAGGTGCCTGGAAGACTGAATGGTAAATCTCCAGCTTCTCTTCCTCATAGCTTTTGCCCTTGACACGATTGATCTTGAATTTTGAGGCAATCTCGTCCGCCCATTTTTCAAGACGCGCATTGATGGCCTTAATATCCACCCCGGAGTTCCGACGACCTCGAGCATACTGGAAACCACTGTGTCTACGTCGATGGCCTGGGGGAGTGTGGAGACCGGACGCCTGCATCTGGGCTCGGGAGGAGATGGGAGCGTAGCGGGGAGCGGATGTGGACACTGTTGACATCGCGCCAACCTCGTCGTCTTCTGAGTCATCGTGAAGGTAGCCTCGTTCCTCATCGGCCTGTGCGAGTCGGGCGTATCCCGAGGTGGCAGGACGATTCTTTGGCATTGTGATTGATTGTGGTTGGATCTATGGGAAATGAAAACGGGCAAAATAGCCCATAGGAAAGCGAGAGGAAAGCCGGCAAAAGAACAAAAAAAAAGACAATAAAAGAGGTTAATCCATCACAGAGAAGAGAAGGAAAAGACCGCTGGGATAGAATAGAGAGTTGATAGAGCCAAGGCAGTTGAAATAAGTGTCACCTATGTCCAGACGCCCAAGGGGGCGTCCCCGAAAGTATGGTTACAGTTAATTTACACAGGCGGTGGCGTTATTGGTGGCAGAATTGAGTTAATTGTAGTAAAATTGTGTGACGCGGGCAGGTCCACCCTGTTAATAACGGTTATACAATTACGCACCGCCACACTCTGTCTCCACCCCCTAATCGAAAGGGGGTCTGGATGGATGCATCCAGTATTATGCGTAAACAGCCCTGAAACTTGGCCAGAACCGCAATTGATCTCCATATGGGACCCCTCAATGACGGATTGGGATATTCAGGGGATAGTCCATATATACGGCGTTAGTAAAGCCGCCACGCTGGCAAATGTCCGTCAATTTTTATGTATAAAAATCCGTCTAGGAATTGATCATCTGTAAGCAAATCACATGCAGAAAGAACTGCGCTTCCTGGCGATATCAATTGAAGACTAGGGACATATAGAATGAAGAGGCAGAAGCAGGTTAAATTGAAGTACATTCTTTGCGAGACAAAATATTCAACTTTGACGCCCCTGACATGCCGTTTCAAATAATGTTCTGATACTGGGGCAATCGTTATCCCGATTGTTATTATCGCGTCTTATCGTCCATCTCAATTCTGCATCTTCTTTCAACCCCTACCCTCACCTATCCTCGGCCATCATGTCGTTAATTTGAAACTTCATTCTTTTCTTCGGTCTAATTAACATCCTCGGACACAATAATTATCGGGAACCCTAATCTTCTCTTTCTCTATAT